CCCCCCCCCCCCCTCCCCAACCACAAATCAAAATTTTAATTCGTGATAGGAAACCAAAGGGCTCAATCTGTTTCCGGCTCTCTCGTACTAACTATGTTAGTAACCTGACCAATATCATAACCATCCTTGGATACTTGAATTACATATTGCTTAATTATTCTTGAGTGCACGCGAAGAGATTTTTTGCCAGCGGGAATCAAGTTGAAGTTAGATAACCTCTTTTTGCTGACACACAACGAAGCATGCAGCAAAAGTTAATGAAGATCAAGTTTAGCTTGAAAGAGTTTCTTATGGAAGTAACAATCGCTGAGATTTCATTACTGTATGTCGAAAGTATAGATGAGCAAAAAACTGTCGTAAGTCCGCTTTGAGCTCCTCTATCTATTAACTGCGCAGGGAAGTTTCAACAATTTGTATTTCTGTTAATTCAAAAGTAATATTTCTGCTGTTTAAGCTGCTTAGTGTTTCTTCTTCTCCTGAAATAGTGTCTTGTTTCCAAACTGCGAGCGCATGTACAGGGATTGGAGAATTATATCGTTTCATGTATTTCTAAGGCCCAAAAATTCCCCGGCCTGTACACAACCATATGGTTCGTACTTGGAAGTACCAGCCACATTGCTTGCTTAAACCGCACGAAAGGTTCCAGAGGTCATTTAAAACGGTTCAAGAATAAACACGAGTGTAAAGAAGGTTCTGTTACATGCTTGTTCATTCAAAACCTAGAAAAATGTTTTCTACGTACCTGATAAAAGAAAAAATGCAACAATTTCAATCCAGCGAGACATGTTCTCTGAGCTTGTTGCGAAGTACGAGGTCGACTGAAAAAGATAAAAATCAGGATGATATGTGGATTATTTCAGAATCAATGATGTAACTGATTTAAATGAGGAGACGTTTTCTTACAGCAGATTAGTACAAACGATTGCTTTAATTGGTGGGCGCTTTATACCTAAACAAATCTTCAAAATAAACGAAGACGAATATAACCCCCTCTTCTCAGATTTGAATCAGTAGAATCCGACGAAAAGTCATCCTCTCCTGCAAGTCACTTAACCACGAAAAGATTTAAAAATTTGGCAAGTCAGGTGAAACGTCACCACAACTTTTTAACTTGTAGTAATAATTTCTCGATGCCATCAAATGAAAAAAAAATCTAACCTACCTGCTCCACACACTGCTTGCAGTCTGCTTCACTGTAGAACACGTAAAGTGAACCTCTTTAAATATGAAAGAGCTGAGTGAAACTTGAGGATATCAGATCACAAATCTTTTAGAAGTCACGTCTCAATAACGTTACCAAGCTAAAACGCCCCTCCAAGTGTTTACCGTCATTAGCAAATTCCCGATACGTGCTTACAGGAAGGTTAGGAAATTTAAAACGGGATTTCTATTTACGGAACCAACGTAAACCTCGGCTCATCCATATTTCATCTGATTTCTGTGGAAGATGAACAGATAGATAATGTATAACACGTGCTGTATTTTCCTAACTTTCGCTGTTTTATATTTCTACTTTAAATTGTTTTCTTTTTCAATTTTTTTGTTCGTTTTGTGTTGTACTTGTTTTTCTATACAGTTTTAGATCGTTTAAGGAAATTGCTCGAACTTGCGTCTTCCATCGGACAAGCGCCCTTCCCCACAACTCACCCGTTTCCATAGACGATAGATCACGTTCGCCGAATAAGTCCAGAGCCTTCCAACGGCATTACACGTGCACATTTTTAGAATCCTTTTTTCAACTTGGTAATCCGCCAAGTTTGGGAAAAAAAAAAACTAAAAGTGCCTTTGCTAATATGACTTTAAGATCGGCCTTTTAGCTTTTTAATTTAATTAAGAGGTCAAGCTTTTGTTTTCGGCCACGTAAATTTGACTTTGCAAACAACGATTATGTCTAGTTACGATGGAGAGAAAATCAAGCAAGTGCCTCCCTAGCAAAAGTGTGCATCCTTTCAAAATTCGCCAAGTTTGTCATCGTATGGCTAAATTGTGTGAATTGTGGACGCTTTTCAGAGGGTAGCAAAACAAAAAATTGGGGGCGTTGTGTAAAAATCATATTCCTTTCTTTCATCAAGAAGGCTTTCCGCCGTTTTGATAAGCAATTCTAATCAGAATAGCTTAATTGTTAACGTGGTGACAAAAATTTCCGGCTTTCTGTGATAAACAAATATAGGTAAGTCGAGAATCTCAATGGGGTTAACCGTAAGCCGAAAAACGGCCAAGAAATTTAGACGTTAGGCATAAAAACTAACAGATTTTAACCGTTGGTCGTTGGAAAGTTAACCCTTATAAATTTCTTTCCACAATGTATCATTTTTGAGTCAATCGTTAGCCATAAATTGGCCAAAATTTTAACCGTCAGCCGTAAAAGCCATCAACTCATTGAGACCCTAGTGGCGAAAATATATCGTTACAAAACAATGCACCTTAAATGAGTTTTAGAGAGCTCTTTTTTTTCAACTTGTTTTATGAACTGGTCGGTTCCTTGCCAGCATTCGCAGAACTTTGCTTCTTTTGTCTTTTTTTTTTTCAGAAAAACTGGGAATGACTATATATGATATTATGTAATGCTGTGCTTCATGGGAAGATAAATATTCTAGGTTTTGATATACCCAGATAAGTTCGTGAACAAAGATGAACTGATACGGTTTATGATTTAAAGTTATCCTAGAAAACTTTTAAAATTGCATTGTATATTTCTATGAAGGAACAAAACTGCAAAAAGAGAAGTGGATCAGATGTAGAAGATCGACCACGTACAGAAGAAACAAACTAACTGTTGGGACGTGCATGGTGCGTGTCTCCAGTTTCCGTTCGATAAATGGTAAAAAAAAACCTGTCAATAACATATAAACAAAAAAGTGTGACCTTGAAAACCCTCCTTATCTGAAAACAAAACCTCGCCGGTGACATTACTTCGCAGTATCAGTTTGTTCTACTGAAACTAGCTGGTCTACTGAAACTAGCTAGCAGATTTCGTTACCGAGAGAATTATTCGATGAATGGCTGTTTTTGTGATAATAGCAGACTGCTTTAGCTGTTTATAGTGCCTATTAGACCCCTCCACAACCTCCCCGCTTTTGTTACTCAACTATCTATCCACCAGCCGCGAGGTATTAGCCCATCAGCTGATCTGTGGTAAGGAAGAAGCCACGCTGCTAATCATGCAAAATAGCGAGAGCCAGTCAGGTGGTTGTTTGAGGTGACAAATGCACCCTATCTCAAGCCAACTGCTTTTGACACTCCACTTCTCTCTACACCTTGGGTCTCAGCCCACTGCCTGAGCAAAACAGCAAATGCCAAAAATGAACTAAATGGGCTCTTCTAAGAAACCCCTCTTAGCGAGAGAGCAAAGTCCAATCGACTATGGTGTCTAAGACTTAACCTATAGACCCTACGCTTTAGAGTTACCTGTTTCGATGGGTCACATGATTGTAACAGGCCAGTTGTTACAGCAGCGCGGGACCTGATACCCGTTGGTCTGTAGGCGATCTGTCGAGCGCAGCACAACTTATTTCATGGGTGAAATGGAGTCAGACTTCAACAGCTTATTGCCACATTCGAACATGGCTTGGAGACAAGATTTGAATTACAGCATACCTGTGTAGAAATGCGATAAGAAGTCTCTCAGTTTTAGGTTGAGGCATCTAAGTCAAATTTAATTTTTTTTGGAAATACCTCCGGTCGAGAATATACCTGGTCAATGTTTCTAGAAAAAAGAAATAAACTTGGGAGAATACCACACCGCATCCAAATGATTTTGTTTGAATTATTTGAATTGTCCTCAGCGCTAACAACCAAAACATAGTCACCTCGGCAGAATTAGGTATTTTATAATATACAGAACAAAAATTACGCGCGTCTGATTGGTTGAAAACGATAACATTTTTCGTGTAACATAAGTGCAAAGTTGTAACGCGAGTACGAATTACAAATAGCGCGCACGCGCGCTGTCAAGAAGTGGAGAGAAACACGAGACGTAGTCGAGTGTTTCTCCCTACACTTCTTTCGTGCTCGAACCGCTTCCTGCGTGCTTTATAACAGAACAGAGCACACTCAAGGCTTCTCTATTTGTTTAATAAAGTATAGGGCTGAGCTAAAGCTATCACACCATCCGAATTGAACTATGTCCGATTATTTCCCGAACTTCTCTCCAGCTTTTTTTCGAAAGTAAAATTTAGGAACAAGCCAGCCAGCAAATAGCAACAGAAGAACCAAACAAAGATTTGTAAACATGCCAAGCGCCGTAATTTACTTTATTATAACGTTAGCACATACGAAAATCCTCAAAGAGGAAACGAATTGGACAGTCCGAGTTTTGAAGGTTATCATACTTAGTTAGATTGCAAGCTTAGGTACAGTAATAAAAATCAAACGCAGCTAACACTCGTATAGAATATATAATTTCGTGTTCAAAAACAAAAACAGAACAAAACAGGAATGATGAAGATGTAGCCAAACTGGCATAACTGTTAAAATTCATACTAATCCTGTTGGGGTCCATCGCGGCTAGCTCATCATGGCGATCTTAAGTCATCGTGGTAAAGCAAGCCTCAGAAATTACATCGGCCGCCCTTCGTGTGAACAACTCAGAGCTTGATCTGATATCCTTTCCGGTGCGTTAAGTGGAAGACTACATCACACATGTTACTTGTTGATCATTTACACGAAAAAAGCATCACAGAAAGTCAAGACAGACGAAATTTTGACAGCGTGCGCGCGCTATTTGTAATTTGTACTTTGCACTCGTGTTAAAACTTTGCATTCGGCGAGTCTTACGGCACTGTTATCCCGAGCAGTCTTTATGTCCCTATGAATTCTTCTGTCGTTCATTCATAAAACACACGCCTTGAGCAGTTTGTTTTCGAATTGTCATGTGAAAAGAGTAAACCCAAAGCCGGATTCCACTGAACATTTCACGTTCAGATTCTATATTTTGGAGACTAAAAAACTTCAGGCAAAAGTGTTAAAATCGACTTACCAAACTGTTTCAGTTTGTAAACTATTGCAGATTGTGAACTTTGATGGTTTCACATTTTTGACAGCTTTAGTCTTGTTCAACCAATCAGATTATTTGAACCATTCTAACAAGGATTCTGATTGGCTTATTGTCGCGTGCTTTTTGAGAACATGGAGCATGCTGACGACACTGTTGTTCACTTTGGAAACAAAGAGATGCTAATGCGGGGAGTCGTAAGATTATTACAGAGCCTTATGGGAGGATCAGGGAATATTTTATCGTGACCGAACCAAAATCCTTCAACCTCCTCTCTTCCAAGCGATAAAATGATGACCGGTCCCTAGATAAAATATTTCGATTACGTCGCATCAATGCAATTAATACCACGATCTGCCTTTTTTCCAGAGAACTTCTAAGAATTTTCTCTGTTGAGGCAGCTAAGATCATCGGCTTCTCGCTGCAATCAGCACATATGTTTCCAGACGGCCCCGTTACAGTGTGAAAGAATTACAGCGAACGTATGAAACATTGACGCGATTCCTAAGGCTGATAGTGCCTTCATACACAGCTATAATTTTGTTAATGGCTCTTGCTCTGGCTCGAACTTGTTGCGCGTCACTGCATAACTTCGTGCACTAGAGTTCAGGGGTCATTTAAAACGAATCAAGTATAAACGCAATTATAAGAACGATTTTTCTAAATAGTATCTATCTTTTCTGGTATACGTAGCCAGCGGATTTGATGGGGAGCTCTTGAGTAAGATGCGAAGCCGCAGTGGGGATGAAAAACAAATTTCCACGCCCCAGGAGCGAGATACCTCACAAGCTAGGTGATTGCCTGACAAAAAGAAAGATCAAATCTAATGAAATATTTTAAACCTCCAAACGTGGTGAATCAGTTGCCAAATAAGTGTAACATGTTTAGCAACTGGTTCGCCATCTTAAAATTGCTCACGCAGTGCGACAAAATATGTCCTCTGACATGTCTCCATCGTTGAGACTGTTGTCGATTTTAAGACTTTGAAGCCTGTTTCTTTCCAGTTTAGTATTCTTTAGCTCGTTTGCTCTTCGTTTTCGAGGTCTACAAAGGTGTATTTTGGTCTAGAACGGATCAGAAAGAAGGAAAAACTACCTTGATAATTGTAGAGTATATGGTCCGACATTGGGACTGTTGTCATCGTTGATTCCAAGACTTTGAAGCTCTTTTCTTTACAATTGAGTATTTTTACGCACATTACCTCTGCGTTTGTAAGGTCTCTACGAGTGCCTCTTAATCAAGGATGGAGCGAAAAGAGAAAAGACAGCCAGACCATTCTAGCCTACGACAT